TTCTTCTGTTATGGGAACTAATAAATAACTTTTCTTTATCAGCCCTCTCCACACCACTCATGATTTTATAGACCTCTATCATATCCCCCCTCAGTCTCCTTTTTTCTAAACTGAAAAGTCCCAGTCGCTTTAACCTCTCCTCATATGGGACCCGTTCCAAACCCCTAATCATTTTAGTTGCCCTTTTCTGAACCCTTTCCAAGGCCAAAATATCTTTTCTGAGGTGAGGAGACCACATCTGTACACAGTATTCAAGATGTGGGCGTACCATAGTTTTATACAGGGGCAATAGGATATTCTGTGTCTTATTTTCTATCCCTTTCTTAATAATTCCTAGCATCCTAATTGCCTTTTTGATCACCGCTGCACACTGTGTGGAAGTTTTCAGAGAACTATCCACTATAACTCCAAGATCTCTTTCCTGATTTGTCATAGCCAAATTAGCCCCCATCATACTGTACATATACAGTGAACCCTCGTTTATCGCGGTAGATAGGTTCCAAACCCTACCGCGATAGGTGAAAATCCGCGAAGTAGGCTTTGAAAGCCACGGAGGGGCTCCGGCGGGGAGCAGCCCAGGCGCGCCTGGGATGCCCCCCCCGCCGGCTTCCCCCGAGGCTTTGAAAGCCGCGGAGGGGCTCCGGCGGGGGAGCAGCCCAGGCGCGCCTGGGATGCCCCCCCCGCCGGCTTCCCCCGAGGCTTTGAGGATCCTACTTCTACTTCGCGGATTTTCATCTATCGCGGTAGGGTTTGGAACCTATCTACCGCGATAAACGAGGGTTCACTGTAATATAAACTTGAACCGGAAAGAACCCTTGTGAATGGGGGACATCTAGTATTGGCCAGGAGAGGGACACACAGACCTATCAGATGCAGTAGAATTACAATGCATCTGTCTGCTGTGCAAGCACCAGGTGCAGTTTTCCTGGACACTCGCAGCGCCCACTGGCATAAGGTCTTGTCAACGGAAACGTTCCCAGATGCTGGCTTTAAGTCTCAAAATCTTTTTACAATGTTCTGTATGGCCAGCCGTAGCAAAGAACTAGATAAAATCCCACTCTGCCTGCACACAGCTACAGGGCATGCGGATGTCTCCCAGCCTAGAAATGCAAACTCTGCCTGGCATGCATGGGGAAATCCCAGTGGAAAAGCTCCTTCCCAAAGCTTTCGCACTGGAATGCAAACTTCAGCACCTTTGGAGGTACAGGGCTGCAGTTTAGCTGGGGTACTACATTGAATTAACAAATCCCACAAACATGCATGTCCCTCCGCTGTCGTGGTGACTCTTCTGTATGCACGTTCTCCAGCCTGCAGGATTGCAAATCACAGATAACACCACACACTCACAGGCTGGTGCCGTGGACTATAGTCATAGATGGGATATTGAACCTTTCACTTCTAGATCACCCATCCAGATTAGATGCAGGTTAGCCATGCTATATATGATATTGCACTCTAGTGAGGGCTCTTCCATCATGTATGGGAAATGAGTTGGGATTAGGTATCTATAGCCTAAAAACTCACTAGGCACTAATGATCCCTCTGCTCACTCCATGTGCTGTCTCAGGCCAACAACTGAATGGCCCATGGGTGGCAGGTATCCTAGGCGGGGGAAGACTCTGCCTTCCCAAACCTCCAGCCTGGCCCCGTCCACACTCTACCCCCCAGAGCACCTACTATAGACCTTCTGGGGACAGAGTGTTGCTGCCCCCAGCACTCGCCCTCTCCATGCTCCAAGATCAGGGAGGATCGGGCTGCGTGCTGCCTGCCCTCCCTGTGCTTTGGAGCTGCACGCCTGCCTGCCTTCATCCCCTCCCCTTGTGGGGAGTGGGACCTCAAAAGAAGGGGCGCGGATGAGGGCGGGACTTGCCTCCTCTCCCTCCCCCCCATCCTATCTTCACGGAACACCCATGGAATGGCCCAGAGAGACTGCAGTCCCCTGTGAGGTTTGACCATGGTGTCCATCCAGGTGAGGGCTGAGGAGCATGGATCAGGTCATGTGCGTGGAGAAAATGGAACTGCTGCTGCCCATGCTTTGTGTGCTTTAGGGACAACCAGATACTTCTTTCTTTGTAGCTATTGTTTGGCCCTTCCCTAGCATAACAGAGCTTAAAAAAAAACACCCGCAGGGAATATACCAGGACATATTAGGTGTGTTATCTGCAGCCTTTGCTACAGCCCCACCAGTCAGCATTCTGTTCCTGTAACCCCCATGCCAGCACATCCTGTTGCATGCACTACTTCAGGAAAACCCTTATTCCACTGAGAAAGGAAGACTCATGCTCATGGAACACAAGAGCCACAGCCGGCAGCTTTCCCAGCACCTGCCGGCATGGAGATGGACAGAGAGCAAGCAGCCCTAGCCATTGCTTCCCAGCCGTGTTACCTGTGAGGAGTTCTGCTCGATGACAGACACCGTGGCCATGGGAGAGAGCTCTGGCAGCTCACACGGCACCTCAACATTCTCCTGGAAAACATTAGTGAGACATTTGCTTCATTAGGGAGCTGACATTTGAAATCTAAGAGGAAAAAAACTTGAAAGAAAAAAAGCTGTGTCTGCTCCTTATCCCCAGTTGCTGAGTGACAGCCTGAAGTCGGCGGATGAAAGCGCCCGTAACAGACACCTTTGAACTGCTTTGCACTTGCACTGACGCAGCTGACGTCACTGGGTAATTCTGTCAGGAGGAGGATGCTCAAAAGGTGTCTGCAGTGGTTTGGTGAATGTCAGACACGTGGCATAAATAATGGATGTGACGATAAAGCAGGACTTAACAAAGAAGCAGCCTGAAAACAATCAATTATTTAATGTGCCGCTTGCAGGCTGTCTGTTGTTTTTATTTAGCTTTCCTCTCAGTGCTGAGAGTTCTAAGTCAAACTCCTCCCTCCCCATATTATCAGGTGGCTGATTCTACAGCTGTTCACTTTCTTAGCCTCACTGCCCCACATAGATAGGAGCCAGCCATTCATTACTGACAGCTTCTTCCTCGTGCTACATCACTGGAGTGTGCCACTCCCCAATGGGCTTTTTAGCGCTTCTGAAAAGCATCATTTTACACACATGCTTTGACATTGTGCAGCTAATGTAACTGTTTCTCGCTCAGGGCTGCCATGAGTTAAGTGGCTCCTTGCCCCAGCAGCAGACGAATAGGGCGTGTTCCATATAATCCACCGTTTTAACGACTTTCCATGGTATTTGAGCCAGGCAGCTCACTGCAGGTTTAGGTGTGGGACCGGCACATTGAGCTGGAACCAGTTTATCTGGACTGATATCAAGACAAACTGTGCCTGAGCTTTGTGAGGGAGGCATGTCACTCAAACAAAATGTGTAGCTGGAGTCAGCTTACCTTAAACCAAGGCATGGCAGCGTCTACACAGTGGGAGGCTGATGGGAGCACACGCTTCCATTACTCCCTGCAGAATGAGTGCTGGATGCCAGCAGGGGCTGCCCTCAGTGTTCGATTTATGGGTCTGTGTAAGACCCGCTAAATCAAACACCAGAAAATCAACCTACGGAGGGTTGATATTCTCTCTAGTGTGGACATGCCCGTAGAGATTAAAATATAGGTTCATTTTTTACTTGCTGCAATTGTGGGGTTTACATCAACTTGTTTCTTAGATAATTGAACATTTTCTCTTCTCTATCTGGGATATCGCACTGCTCAATTTTGTCACTAACAGCCTCTTCAAACAGCCATCCATGTGACAAAGCTCCTCAAAGGGAAACTGAAGCCAGTGATGAACGCTAATGGGATTTCTGTTGGGAGTTGGAGACCACACATGGCTGCTTGCTTGCTTGTTCATGTCATCGTTCCCCTTTATTCGGCTTTGGTGAGGCCGCATCTGGAGTGTTGTGACCAGTTCTGGGCCCCCCACTACAAAAAGGATGTGGACGCATTGGAGAGGGTCCAGCGGAGGGCAACCAAAATGATTAGGGGGCTGGAGCATATGACTTATGAGGAGAGGCTGAGGGACTTGGGTCTGTTTAGTCTGCAGAAGCGAAGAGTGAGGGGGGATTTGATAGCAGCCTTCAACTTCCTGAAGGGAGGTTCCAAAGAGGATGGAGAGAGGCTGTTCTCAGTGGTGACAGATGGCAGAACAAGGAGCAATGGTCTCAAGTTGTGGTGGGAGAGGTCCAGGTTGGATATTAGGAAAAACTATTTCACTAGGAGGGTGGTGAAGCACTGAAATGGGTCACCTAGGGAAGTAGTGGAGTCTCCATCCCTAGAGGTGTTTAAGTCTCGGCTTGACAAAGCCCTGGCCGGGTTGATTTAGTTGGAACTGGTCCTGCCTAGAGCAGGGGGCTGGACTTGATGACCTTCTGAGGTCTCTTCCAGCTCTATGGTGCTATGATTCTATGAGGAGGAGTAACACATGAACAAGGAGGAATGGAGACATGGATGAGGACTTCAGTCTCCATTCAGGATGCTTTAGCAGTTACTCTTCTCATTAAAAGCCAGTGTTTAAAGAGCCATGAGCCCTCTGGCCAACATGCAACAAGTGGAACAGCAGTTCAGATCCCAGATCAGGGGTCTCACCTCCCTGTACCGCTCCAGCTCAGACACGAATGTTCTCTTGTAGAAGAGAGCCTGCAGCCGCTCATGCACATAATTGTGACAAAGCTCCTCAAAAGTAGCAGCTCGCTCCTTCTTCTGGTGTCGAGGGTTGTGGAAACCAGGGGCATCTACCACCATGATGGAAGCCATGGAGAGGTGACTGGATGAGAAAGACCTGAGAGAATGAGGTAAAAATAGCATAGAAGCTTTAGATAAGAACATATCTGAGTCCTATTTGGTTAACTGAAATTATTTCCCTTGCCCAAATGTAATGATTCCTTCCTCATGTAAATAATCATTTCAGGAAGCATTTTTAATCATAACAGTCCTATGACCCTGAACAATAATTATAACACATTTACTATCTGAACAGTGCTTTGTTGGTTGGCATGGGTTTGTGAATTTAAAAAACAGAGTATTAAAAGCCACATAGATACTGGTATTTTCCTGCCCTTTAGTGTCTGAACTTTAGCTAAGTCCTCCTTGTTTTATTCATTACTGGGTACTGCTTCCAGTCTTGATCAGAAAATCTGGACTAGCTTATTCCTAACCTGGACTAATAAACGTGGTACCTCTTCTTAGGCACCGAATTTGACATGTGGAGCTTAATTTTGGGTGGCAGAGTTATCGTCAGGATGGTTAATTGATCAACATATGGACTATGTCAATGACAGTTTTAAGTTCCAAAATACCGATTGTAGGAAAATAAAGGGTGTGAGGCAATGTACAGCCTATATGTTCTGAGGAAGAGCCATACTGCAGGTCACTATGAGAGGAGCTATATTTCCAGCAACTTCTTCCAAGCTTTGCTTCTATCCATGCCAAATACTTCAGATAAAAATACTAATGGGAACGGGACCTAGAGAAAGCACCGTGATTTTTAAAAATATCTACATCTGAAAAGGTTGAGTTATGCTGCTCTGCTTCAAATGGCAAATGCCAGCAGAAAAGATTTGCTGAAAATAATTGGAATGGAGAGATGCCAGGCATTAGCATTCTGACTTATGAGGAGAGGCTGAGGGATCTGGGTTTGTTTAGTCTGCAGAAGAGATGAGTGAGGGGGGATTTGATAGCAGCCTTCAACTTCCCGGATGGAGAGAGGCTGTTCTCAGTAGTGACAGACGGCAGAACAAGGAGCAATGGCCTCAAGTTACAGTGGGGGAGGTCTAGGATAGATATTAGGAAAAACTATTTCCCTAGGAGGGTAGTGAAGCATTGGAAGGGTTCCCTAGGGAGGGGGTGGAATCTTTTTAAATCCTGGCTTGAGAAAGCCCTGAGACTTAGTAGGATTGGTCCTGCTTTGAGTAGGGGGCTGGATTAGATGACCTCCTGATGTCTCTGACTCAATGATTCCATGATTCTATGGAACTTCATTGATTTGTACCCGTTTACAGGAAGAAACAAAAGTATATTTAGAATTCACCTAAAGAATTTCCTATCACCATCCTTGCCAAGCACCACGGACATGTCCTGTGAGTCTGAAATTGTGAGTACAAGTTGAAAGCAAATTAAGTTCCTGAGACCCCATCAACTCAGTGGGAGTCAGAAAAATGTTCTTGACTGAATAGAAAAACATGTTTTCCACTGTGACATACTGTATTTTTGTTGGAATGTTTCAAAAGGCTTTGATGAGCTGATTTTAAAATAACAACCAGAGAAATAAAACGAATGTTAAAGGGAACAGAGTAGTACAAGACACGTTCTTTGGGCTAATGCTTCATTATTCAAGATTTTAAAACAGCCTGCAGCATTTTGCTCTTCCATGAGATCGCGGAGAATCATCTTTGGACAGGCTGCAATAAACCAGAAGAAACCATATGGGATATTTCCAGTCATAGGATTGAATCTAGATGCTGAATTTGATAGCTTGAGGTATAAATGCAATGAAATGGATTAAAAACAAAGAGGCCACGGTGGCCTGATCCTTTTCTCTATTGTCTTCACTGGAGCTGGCCCTGATTTACACGAGGATGAAAAAAAAATAAAAATAAAACAGGAACCAGTTCTTCATTCTATAGCAGCTGCTGCATCACCGCTGAGAACCAAGTGAGAAAAGTTGGGATTTTGCAGTCAGGGTTTTCAGGACAGAGGGCACCATTACAAATGTTAGACGCACCAGACATCAGACTACCCCAACAGGATGATTAAATGTCCAGTAATTAAGTTTGAATAGACACTTCTGTAATTCCTGAGAGCTAGCTCACATCACACTTTTCATTAGGGAATGACTCATATCAGGCAATCTATGTGGCTGTCTTTGATTCCCAAACCAGTTTATGACTCTGTACATATTAATGCCCTTGATTTCAATCCTTCAAATTCACAGCCATTATTCATAAGTAAACAAGTCAGTTCTCCACGCCACAGTGCCCCAGTCTTTATAGTGACTACGCGGTCTACAGGGAAATAAAACAAAGTGAAACTAACTAGGGGAACTGGCCCATCTGACTGTGAGGAATACTTCATCTCAGCAAAAACTGTGCTAACTGGACATTCCATTCTCCAAGATGCACACTGGATAGAAAAAAACAGAACTAATCTCATCTGAGTGCCATCCTTGGGCTCCTAAAAAACGCACATAAACATGACCGAAAAGGAGATTTCCCTTCTACAGGAATAGGAAGGCTTAGAAGGCAAGCTGGTAACTTCTTAATTTTAGTTTCCTATCACTTGTAAAACAGTCTGTTCTGTAAGCCATGGTTTATGACCACGACAACTTGTACTTTCAGTTTTAATAAAATCAATGGTTGTAAAATAGAAAGAACACAATATAGCTGAAAATGGACAAACAATCTAAAAAGAGGAATTCATAAAAGAGCATCTGGAGGCATCACAGGAGTGTGAAGGCAAAGCTGATCTCCTGTAGCACTGAGAAAAGGGGTTCTTTCCACCCACGCTTATGAAGAATGCTTTGAAAAAGAAAGAGAATCAGGAAACACAGCTGACTGACTGCAAAACTAGTAACAGAGAGTAAGTTGAAAAGAAGAGCGAGGTTGCACAGAAGTAGCACAGCAGCTAACAAAACAGGTTCCTGGGGTCCATGCCCTAGACTCCCACCAACCACCACAATGCACAATGAAAAATACAAGTAAAAGTCTCAGAGGGGAGCTATGTTCATCTGTATCTGCGAAAACAACCTGTGGCACCCTTGTTTTCGCAAGTAATTGGAAGTGAGTGTTAGGCTGATCCATACCACTCACAGCCTGGGGAGCAGAAGAAAGAACTTAGAAAACCCAAAACGTCCAAATATGAATCAGAGAAATCTCTGAATGTTTGGGGAGCTCCCTAGCCTATCGAAACATCCCTTCTACTCACTGCCTGGCCTTGCAGCTTCCTACACACTAAGGGATGGAGTTGCAATAGAGCTCCGTGCTGGAGTTTTAAGGGCTCTGTATTCACCATGGACAGCAGATCTGCCAAAACACTCAGTTCTCAGTACTGCCCAGGGTGACTCTTTTGGCTGGAGTTTCCTACACACTAAATCCCAGTTGCTGGAGCTGGGCCTTTTCCTTAACATGGCTGGGATAGAGTGAGTTGCCTTCCAAGGATAAAGAAGATGATCATTTTATCTGTGCATATTCAAGGCTGAGGATCTTGAATGTGGTTTAGCAGGGTAATAAAATTATTCCTGGGCAGATCTCTTTCCATGAAGAAGTGTGTCCATCTTTAGTTACCAGGGTTCACAATTCAGGAAAGAATTTAGACGCCCAGCTGTTGCTGGAGGATCAGCTCCTGGCAATAATCCAGTCAGTTGACCAGGTGCATCTGGTCAGGGGGTTGGCATCTTTCCCTTTGGAGGAGATCCTGGCCAAAGCTGCGATCTGAACAAGCACTGCAGCTGCATCCCTCATGTGGCAAAGAGAAAGGACAGCCTGCGTGGCCAACTTTGTCAAGGCTCCAGGCCGCAGGAATTTGTCCCCCACCTTTTCGCAGAGCCTGGCTGCAGGAGCAATCTGTTTGACAGTCATCCTGGCTGATGGCAGGATGGGAAGGAGCTATGTATTGCTGGCTGGCTGAGTGGCAACTGAATGTTTGTCCTGTCATGTGGCTGGAGCATGGGGCTGTAATTGCCACTAAGTAAAGCCATGATGCCCAGGCACTATCTTCTATCACTCCAACCCCAGCTATAGAACATCCTGCATGCAAAGGAATCAAAACCTGCCTTGAGCAAGAAGCTGCTACACGGCATACCAGGAGACTTTCCACCTGCTTCTCTGTCACCAGCCAGCTAAACGCACCAGGCTGGTGATGTACTGAACAATCTATTGACCACACGGTAGGGTCCTTTCACACATTCATTCTTAGACTTTCTGACTACTTCCTTCTTTTACTGAGATATTCTTCAGGTATCCTTTCTGCAGCAACCAGGGGCTACAGGCCACGTGCATCTCTTCTGAGTGCATTCAGCAAAGATTTCTCTTTATTAGTGTCAGAGATGGGGGGAGATACAAGACAAACATAATGGACATGAATTATTCTTGTGCATATATACATTCTAGCCCAGGGGAGATGTGTTTGTTTGTTCTCTTAATTGCCTGGCCTACGAACATTCAATACCTGTTGATCAGAGACACAAGAGCAGCAAACAGTTCTTCATAGAGACCAGAAGCCATTCCTTCCACACATTCCACGCCAGTCATCTTGGCCCCTAGAGGATACAAAAGGAAAACAGGACAGCAGCAAACACGCTGCATGATTTATTTTTCAATCCTTTTTTATCTTTCGTAGACAGAATTGGTAATAACTACGTTACCTGCTCCCTGTAGAGTATGACTTGCACCAACCCTCATTCCCACATCCAAGACACTATGTGAATCCATTTACATGAGGAATAAATATTCACATGAGTTTCCCTGAAACTGCTCCAATGTCCATTATCTGATTTATATTTTTTAGCAAAGACTTGATAATATAGGGGCTTTTTTGCAAACTCTTACTCACACCAGTATATCCTACTGGAGTCAACGGACTACACTTTGGTCAGTAAAGACCAAATATTCATACAAGTTCAGGCTGGTTCTTAATCCACATGAAATCAAAGAAAGAGAGAGAGAAACACACACACACTCTAAACATGCCTTCCTGAATTAACTGCATTAATTCCAGTTGTGCAGTGGTTCATTAAAGCCACCACCAGAGCATATATTTATACTTTGTATTTTTCACTGAGTTAGTCCTGTAAATTCAATACAGCACATTATCCAATTTTTCTCCAGAAAGACACCAGCAATTACAACAAATCTGCAGTGCTGCTTCATGCAGGAGCATGGTGAAAAGGGGCTATCTTTACATGCTGACTTTTTTCTGATAGCTCTTAAAACATAAAACATTTTACATTCTTCCTTTAACCCTGGAACCTGAGCTGGTTGCTAGGAGACAAACAACCGCCTAGCACCTTTCTCAGATATGACTCTCTTTTCCATGGCAGATGTCAGAGTACGAGAACCATCAGCACTGGCTGCAGACACACAAAGGGGAAAAACAACTTTCAAAGGGAAAATATCACCAGAAGAAGGGAGCAAAATAAAACCCATGGATTGAAATCAGAAAGATGCTGGAATC